TTAAAATATAAATATATTTTAATATTTTTAATAATTATATTTATGTAAATTTATAATTAAAAATTACTTTTAACTTATACTAAAGACAAACATTTTAGAACAACTTAATAGAAAAATAGCAGAAAAAAAAAACTATAAAAACGTTGTTGGGCCAACAAAAAAAAGAAAAAAAAAAAGAAGAAAGAAAACCAAAAGACCAACAACTTCTTAAAAAGGAGGAGAAAGGCAAAAACCATTTATCGAAAAAAAAAATTCCAAACCATTCTATGTTTTAATTTAAGGCATTTTCATAATTTACGCATGATTTGCCATTTTCCTCTTGTTAACGTCAGTTAACTTGGATTCTTGAGCGGCAGCGCCACCAACGAATTGAAATGCGCTTGCCATATATCGTTTCTTCCTCCCTCACACCCAAACCACCTGTACCAATATCCATGGTGCTTACTGACCTTTTTGCCAAAGAAATAGCAACAGAGCTCCTGAAAATGCTCATATCAATTTCTCACAAATCTTGTCTCTGTAAATCTAGCGCTGACAACTTGATTATGAGCATTGATGAACTCCTCCCCATTACCCAAGAGATTAAATACTCCGGCGTCGAACTTTCTGCAATTCGGCAGTCACAGCATGACCGTCTCTCCGAGCCATTGTGAGAGGGACTCGAGTTGGGGCTCAAGGTTTTTGCCTCTGCTCGCTGGAACGTTTATAAGAATCTCCAGCTTGCTAGGAAGAAGGAGACATTGGAGAAGAAGGTTGCGAGATTTCTCAATGGTCCTACGCAGGTTCACGTGCTTGCCGATCTGCATCACTTGAGGTTTGAGACGATCGAGAGGTTCGATCGGATGAAGGGATAGGTACGGCAGCTCGAGCAGCGACTAGGATCAATGAAGATTAGAAGTGGAGGATGGATGGACGAGGCAGTCAAAAGAGTGGTGATGGCAGAAGAGACAACTTTGGAGAGTTTGTGTGGAGCAGGTTTGGATTTGGGGAAGAAGGTTAAGGAGATGGTGATTAGGTGTGAAAATTCCTCCGTTGTAGAGATTTTGGGAAGTAGAGGAGATGATTTTTTTTTTTTGTTGTTTTAATTATTGGTATCTAATAATCATATTGAGTAAATCGAGTCGTTTCGAATCTCATTTGAAAAAAACTCTTTCGATGTATGTTTATCTATTCACAAAATTTGAATTCGAAACTTTACTTATACGGAACTAAGTTCCTTTCACTTGAACCAAAAGATCATCGATAATAGAGGAAATTGATTGAAGAGAGGTTTTGGCAACAAAGGAGATGAGATCGAAGAGAGATTTTAAGTGGAGAATTGATTCTAAAATCCCTAAAATCCCAAATGTTCTTCCTTTAATGGACTAACTAATGACACGTTGGATGCCACTTAACTGCCATGCAGGCCATGTTGGATACCACATGGAGATTAACTGTCACGCAAGCCATTACACAAATGGCGTTGAGGAGCTTAGTTCACGAAGGAGCTTATTTGCTTTAGACAGGGAGTTGGAGGGTTTATTTGTTTTTTTTAGTTTAGGAACTGGTCACTAACTGTTGGAAAAGCTGAGGGACTTAAGAGGAGTTTTTACCAAATGAAATTCATCTATTTTCTCCTCCTCTCCCTTTCTCTCATTGTTTGGTTACATTAAAATACAAAAATAATTACAGAAAAGTATGTGGAAACCACTCCCCTCCCCTCTTTTTTCTTCTAATATTTATTATCAAAATAGAGAAATTTCTCCTTTTTTTTATTCCTTCCACTCCCCTCAAATAACAAGACAAGCCAGTGGTGTTGATAATTTTCTATTAATTAAACTAAACGATGAATGGAGAATTTATATTCTTTCATTATTTTCTTAAGAAAAGGCATTCCTTAATTTTTACTAATATAAAAGAAAAATTAGATACTAAAACTTAACTATTTTTATTTTTTTTTTATGAAAATGCTTTACCTTAATTTTTACTAATATAAAAGAAAAATTAGATACTAAAACTTAACTATTTTTATTTTTTTTTTATGAAAATGCTTTAATTTCAATTTGTTTTTATAATTTGATCCAGAAATAGTCACTATTACCAACCATATAACTTAGCTAATTGTATTTCTTTTTAGATTTGGGGTGTAACATTATGTAACATGAACTGTCAAGTAAAAAGTGAGTTGTTAATATTAGATGTTTTTCTCTATCTGACTATTTTTAGATAATAAAATAAAAAAAATTTTAAATATATTAAACTATAAGGTGAATTCAATATAAAGTAAAAAGTAAGAAAAGAAAGAACATAAAAGTGGGCAAATTAGTTGTAATGTTAATTTCTCTTTGAATCAACCACCTAATAGTAGGTTTGGTTTGAAGAAATGAAATAAATAATTTTTTTGATTAATTAAATTATAATGGTTACAAATATCATAATTTAATTTGTCAAAAAATTCTCTTTTTCTCTCTTCTTCTCTTCATTGCCTCATATGAAACATATTATGATAGTAAAATAACAACAACACATAAAGAAAAATTTATCCTTTAAGCTGAGGAAAAACCTTAAAATCTTCTTTATTGTATAATATATACTTGTTCATTAGAAACATTAAAAGGAGGACCACAACGAGCGACGACCGAATTGTACCACCAAGGGACCACTAAAACTAACCTAGCTAGCTTCACATATCACCAAATTTGATCAGAATGATGCACCTAATCTAAGACCAGACTCTTTTTTTTTTTTGAAAGGCAATTAATCTAAGACTAGACTCTTCCACGATATAGGTAAGAACAACCCTACCACTAAGCTAGCGGATAAACCTGCCACACAACAAAGGATAAAAGGTAGAGAAAATGAGAGAACAAAACTACGAGGGAGCATTAATGAATGGGTAAGAAACTGAACAAGGGAAGAGGAAAAAGGAGGAGGCGGCGCGCGCTACTCCTAGGAAGTCCTAGCAGATGCCACTCTACCCATTTAGTTGAATATTAATTATACTTGAACATGTTTAGAATTAAACGTAACCCCCCTTATAACCTCGTTGCTAGTGTAAGGATTTTTTTTTTTAAAATAAAATTTTGAATTTAAATTTTATAAAAAAAAGGGAGATAAATGTTAATTTTTTTTTTATGAAATATAATTTGATTTGATTGTGAATTAATTAAAGTTTAATATAAATTTTAGATATCAAGAGGTTTAGTTTTAACAAAAAATTAAAAAAGAAAAACTTTTCAAGGTAGGTAATTACTTGTCTCTGTCAAGGGATATTGCTGTTGTTGGAACTAAAATGAATAATATCTCAACAAAAAATCAAAATTTGCCTGCACCTAAATTAAAATTGTGCAATAAAAAAAAAGTATAAAACACAACCAAAAAAAAAAAAAAAAAATTGATACACCCATTTATTCAACATATGGTTCAACATCTTTTGGTTTAGTCATTAAAAATATAATATAAATATAGTCAATACAGTCGATTCTTGTATCATGTATGTATGATTGTATTATTATACTTGTCTGTTTTTAATTTTAGATTAAAAAAT